CTTTTTCTTGATGTCGCATGCAGATATCTGTATGTCAGACATAAGGATACATACAGAAAAGAAAGCATAATCTGCATGCGACATCAAGAAAAAGATAAAGATACGTTAAACGGTAGAGCTCTAATAATTCTGACATCTGTGATGTTACCACGCAGTACAAGGGCATATCTCTAATCTAGTTTACTATGCCTAAAAGTGACTGCTTTTTTTATATTTATTATCAAATGTCATCGTAAAGTGCAACACAAAGAAAAGGAGCATGATTTTTATGTGTTATATAGAAAAGAAGTGATAAGAGAATATGAGTATATAATTTATATTTAAAATCTCCCACGAAGAAAGTAACGGTTGACAAAGTTTAAGATGTCTCGTTGAATAAATAACGTTATATACAAGGCGAAGGTACTATGTGACACATGTTTTCACCAACTATTGTTATAGCAATAGTTTTTTTATCTCGTAAGTATTAAACTACACGTTTAGACATTTTTCATCTTTCACCGTAACAAGAAACGTGCTTGACACAAAATAAACTAGTTGCAGTTAGATTCTTTTCTCAACCACTCGAGGAAGAGGCACGCTCATTCGACTACCCGTTCAACATAACATAGGAAATCATAAAACTTCGTTTGCTTCTGTGCCTATTTGTACTAAAAGTCCAGGTAGATTATCAAAAAAATAGTGTCGTTTTGTCCGACTATCAGGTTGAAACCTTCTCAAATGGTTAAAAACGTTTTGATTAAACTTAGTTTTTCTATGGTAATTCTTGATGCTGGCCTCGAATTTAATATTCATTGGTCCCCATAGATTTTCTTGAACGCTTCTCTGGAAATCGGATTTCTGTAGATTCAGTATGAGCGTTAAACAGAACACTATTTTGATCGAGCCACATTATAGAATATCTTGAGTCACCTATATGGAAAAGTTTTCAGAACTAACGAACAAGTTTTCTCACAAATATAAAAGTTTTAAGATGCAAAACGAGCGAAAGGCGACTATGATGTTTTGACCACAAAACGGGATATATGTAGGTTTGTAGAGGAAGACTTCCTCTATCCAATGGTGTATATATTATCAAATTCTGTTGCGTACCGTGAGAGAAAATTAACGGTAACCCCTCTTTTTTTAAAAAAAAGTCACATTTGTG